TAGAGTCAAGAAAGTGTTTATTTCCTGAGAGTCCACTAAAACCAAAACACCATTTCTTGTGGCATTATCCGGCACTAATTTTGAAATTTGGCCCTCTGATCAGATTATGGGTAATGCCTTTTGAGAGCAAACACGGCTACTTCAAGAGATGTGCCAGGCATTTTAAATACTTTAAAAACATCTGCCTAACTTTTTCTGAAAGACATCAGTTTCAGGCATCCCTTTCGGCTGGGCCAGGAGGCACTCAGCTTCTGCAAGTCAAAGACAGTTCTACATTGTACCTCAACTTTTACGGTGACAAAATTAAACATGTAGTTAGCGACTTTGGCTTTTCAGAAATACAATATAAAGGTACGTCATATAAAAAGGACATTTCCTTGTTTCAAAAAATGACTTCATGGAGTTTCATGGAGAGCTTTTCATTATTCTAATTCAAAATAATGCAGCTGTGTATTTTGTGATGGACATGCATAAATCAGTCTATCTTACTAAATACCACCTGTACTCAGTAATAAAACAGAGTACAAGGATGCAGTGTCTTAATATTAATGACTTGACAGAATTTTATCTGTTACCATCATACATTATTGATGGGCACCAAGTCATCCCACTGAAACACAGTGTTTTGTCAAAGTAACCCTCATTTTGGCCACTTTGCTCTAAAATGCACATGTACTGTATGCTTCTTAGAAATTACTGGGAAAGTGACCATAGTTTTTCCTTTTAGATGTACAGAAATAAAAGGTGAACTTATTTCTCACGTTATATACTCCAAGTAATGGTGCCTCTTATCTCAATACAGTTTATGTACAGTCTTGCTTGACTCAATGTCTTAACTACTTTTTTCATCTTTCATTTTTGATCGCAAACTGATATCTTCCTGCAGAAATGACCGACTTGCAACAAACATTTCTATGTGCCGCCATTACTGAGGTCTTGCCCACCCTTCCAGATGGCTCAAAAGGCATTCTAGAGGAGACCTTACAATCCCTTGGGCTGGAGACATATGATGATTTTCAATTTATTGAGGAAGCTGATTTGTTGTCAGCCTTGAAACCCATTCAAGCCCGAAAAGTTCTTGCTGCCTGGAAGCTAAAATGTAAGTGAAGTGTTACACAGGATGCAACCAGTCCTCAAAGTAGCCTACATAAAAAACAGTCGAAAATACAAAGACAGTCACATTATCTTCCTAATAATCTTTTTGTGTTGGTGTGTGTTTTTGCAGGCCAGAGTCCTGAATCCAAGGGTTCATCTGTTCATCTGGTGGTGCCTCACCAGGACCTTCCCCAGCTTTGCAGTGTCTTTCACCCAGATATTCAACCTCTTCAAGCAGCTGTCAAAGTCCTGATATAGACTGGGTGGATACCTTTATGATACCATGGGAGAAAGTACCAGAGGAACTGATGCAGACATTTAAGAGAGGGAAACGTCCAAGTCCACGAATGACGAGCAAGATGATATGGATTGTCGTTAGTGAGATGATGAGACATACTTCTTACATAAGCAGAAGGCACTCCACAGATGATGCCAAAAAGATGGTGGCAAAATATCCAAAATCTCTGCAAGACATAATAGAGGGGAACAATACTGGAACAGGCTGTGACACTCTTGTTAAGGAATTGCAAAGTAGGATAGAAAATTTGAAGTGGTCTACAACCCCAAAAATCAGAAAACATAAACATGGTGTCACGCCGGTGGGGCGGGCGAGCAGGAAAGCAGGCAGATCAGCTGGATGGATGGATAAACAAGGTTTATTTAGGAAACAGGCAGGACCGGGGAAGCACGACGACTAACATGTACAATGACAGAACTGGGGAATACTGACTGAGACACGGACTAAATACTCAAGACAAGGTAAAAGGAATAGGCAACAGGTGAGTACAATCAGGAATTAACACGAGGTAACAAGGTGGGCGTGGCACACATGAGGATTGGACAGAGCAGGGCGTGACAGAACCCCCCCCCCCCAAAGGCGCACACACCTGGCGTGCCCGAGGGGAGGCGACGGATGAGACGAGGGGCAGGAGCTGATAAACAAAATCAGAACATCAATGGGGGACCGGGAACAAGACAGAGACACAAAACAGGCACAGGGGCAAAAGCCAGGACAAAACCCGACACAAGACAGGAAACGCAGACACGCAGACGGAGAAGGGAGACACAGAGGAAACACCCACAGGCGACACGAAGGGGCCAGGAGTGAACGGAGGAGGAACAGAGGGACGAGGAACAGACACAGGAGGAGGGTTAGACAGGGGAGACCCAAGAGGAACAGACTGGGGACAAAAGGGAGCCTGAGGGAGCCCAGGCGGGCGAGAGGGAGAAGGGAGCAGGAGGGAACCACACAGGGGCCAAGGGAACGGGACGAGGGAGAGACGGAGGGGACACGGAGGGAAGAGGAGGGAACAGCGGCGCAGGCGGGCAGGCGGGCAGGCGAGCGAGCTAGGGGGCAGGGCGGGCGGGCGGGAACCACGGGAACCAGGTCCGACGCTTGTGGCCCCGTCCCTTATGGGACACTGACAGGCGGGGTCCTACAAGGCGTTGTTTCCGGCAGGGCAAGGGAGTCCCCACATCCTGTCCCCACAGCCCAGGACCCAGTCCGGGACCTAGCTCCCTTCCTCAGTGAGGAGGAGGAGCTGGAATGGGACCCCTAGGGGACCTCCCTAAGGGTTGTCTGAAAGCTCATGCTTTCAGACTCTCACGCTCATGCAAGAAATCTCACGGCAAATCTATTATATTCCATTATAAACCTAAAATTAGCTACATAAAAAGTGTTGGGGTAGTCTGCAAACCCTACAGTTTGAACTGAAAATGTCAAGACAGCCAGCTGACTAAAGTTGGGAATCCCGAAAAGTTTTGTTTTATAAGAGTTTAATCCTTTTTAGAGCCATTTGTCAAATGCAATGCCTTCACATTTCTTTTTGCCATCATTTCATCAAACACCGTTCACTTTGTATTTGCTTGCAAGTATTATTTTTGTTGTAAATTAATAATCTGTAGATGACAAATTTAAGCTGAACCATTAAATAAATAATATATGGGTCATTCTTTCGAACATGCGAATGTGTCAGAAAAAAATAAACCAGTCAGTCAAAAAATCAGTTTTTTTATGTAGAGCAATTGACATTACCTTAGATTTTTAAGTATATTCAAACTATTTCATTTATTGCTCTGATTTGATGATTTTTAAAAACAATTTAACCCAAATAGGTAGCAAAAAATCAGTTACACAAAAATACATGAACTGATTTTATGCGGATATGGTAAGATGTATATTTTTGCTCATTTTAGTGTCATTTTTTTCTCATCTCAGCACTGGATTTCATGATATACCTTTGTTTATCATAGAAATAAATGATAAAATAACAAATCTGAATAACTTCCCCAGAGGCAATATTAGCTGTGGCCAAAAGTTATTCTCTTGAGAATGACACAAATATTAATTTTAACAAAGTCTGCTGCCTCAGTTTTAATGATGGCAATCTGCATATACTTAATAATGTTAGAAAGAGTGATCAGATGATGAATTGTGATTAATGACAAAGTCCCAATTTGCCATGAAAATGAACTTAATCTCAAAAAACCCATGTCCACTGTATTTCAATCCTGCCACAAAAGGACCTGCTGACATAATTTCAGTAACTCTCTCTAAAAACACAGGTGAGAGTGTTGACAAGGACAAGGCTGGAGTTCACTCTGTCATGCTGATTGAGTTAGAATAGCAGACTGGATGCTTTAAGTTTGAAATTGTAGTAATACAAATTGGAGAGGTAAAATTGGAGGAGACTATAGAGACAGCGCATGATACAGCAATCAAAGTGGAAATCTTGGCAGTATAAGTTATACACAATGAATTCAGGATGAGTGCTGTCATTGTGAAGGTGTCAGTGTCAAATGTAAATGTGGTGAAGGTGCCGCTGCAAACAACTCAAAGTAAACAGAAGAAGAGGAAAGGAAAGAACGGGCAGAATTACACCCCACTGCAAGTAATTTTCTTTTGCGCACAAGTTATTCAGTGTGCACAAGATAATTTACTCTGTAATAAGAAACTATGTCTACTAAAACTATGTCTCAGCGTCTAAACAAATTGAACTGGAAAGGTATATTCATTTACAGTCAACAAGCAACACCATGAACTCATTTTCCATTTTTAAAAATACAGTCCGTGTGTATGGTCACGACAGAGGTGAAGCGACATGAAAAGTACTTTTTTTTCGGTCATTATATTAGTAATCATAATAATATACTATAATAAACAGGTACAGTAAATATAATAAATAGGTGTCAGTAATAACAAAACATGTTAGTGGAACTCGGTGAGGCGAACAAATCAGCAAACCGATTAAAGTGGCAAACATAATCTGTATTAATGCAACCGAACAAGATATCAGTGTCAATATGAGAATGCACAACCATATATTCCATTAATTGCGAATGTTTTGCCCAGGGGCCCACACAACCCATAATCCGTCCCTGCTCAGCCTTAATGTCAAAGTAGTGCGTGGCAGCGTTGTATTTACTCCTTCCAGTAATATTAATTGCAAGGCTGTTGTACCTTATTGTACTCTAATGGCAGGTCTAGCAAACATAGTATGGCGTGCTGAAACAAACCTCTTACAACATGACAGCAAATAATAACTTGTGCGTACACAAAACTCTTTGGGGCTTTTGATATGAAAAATATCAAACTTAACTTAAAAGGTAACAAAGTGCAAACAGACCTTTAAAGCATGACATGAAACATGAGTTGCATGACATGAAATGTCCCAATAGCTCATTCAACCACACAAGTAACCTTGTGAGGGTTTTACCAATACCTTTACAGTTGCTTGCATTAAAGTTTTCCATAGTTTTTAAAGGTTTTAGCCTAAATATTAATGTATCCATTTGCATAGGGTTGGAAAAGTAACAGCTTTATTGTTATATAAACATATAAATATAAAATATAACAGTTGCATAAATAACTAGAGATGCATTTCCGCAAAAATTGTAGGAGGAGCGTGGAATAAAAAAATAAGAATATAAGGAATAACAATATGTGATTGTCGCTTATCGCAACCACATAATAAACTTAGGAAACCAACAAACAAAACTGACTCAGTCTACTTTGAACTATTTTTATTACAATGATATGATTATTAAAACAAAGTTATTAAAAATTAACTTTAAATAAACACTAGTGATGGGCACTGCAGCTCATCTCTAAGGCAATAAAAACAATGTTGACCCAGGGGTGCTGATTATCACAGTTTTTAAGAAAGTGTTCCGAGTGTTTCTGGCAGTCCAGGTGTTGCAATCATCCAGAACCGGCTGTGAATTAGCAACGCATATAGATATTGTCATGTCGGGTTTACGGAAGCAGGCGAAGGATGCTGGATACAAAAAACAGGGTTTATTACCCCCCCCCCAAAGGTGTGAACTCCAGGCACACCCCAGGGGAACGAAGAGACGGGACAGGGAACACATGACCTGGAAAACAAGACAAAAGCGAAGACCATTAATGGGAGACCGGCAACAGAACAGTAACACAGAACAGGCACAGGAGCTGACACAAAACAGGGAACGCTGACAGGCAGACCAGGAAAGGAGGGCACAGAGAACGGAGGAACAAAAGGACCAGGAGTGAACAGAGAAGACAACGAGGGATGAGGAGCAGACATAGGAGGGATGAAGGAAGGAGGCAGAAAAACAGAAGATGACGGACAACAGGGAGTCCGAGAGAACGCCAGAGGATGGAAGGCAGCAGCCACAGGGGCAGCAGGCAACCGCAAGTCCGGAGCAGAAAGGGACCTCAGAGGGAGCGAGGAGGAAGACGGAGAGACAGGCAGAGGAGGCGAGGAGGAAGTCGGAGGGACAGACAGAGGAGGCGAGGAGCAAGTCGGAGGGGACGCCCGCACAGGAACCACAGGGGGCGCTGCAGGAACCACCCAAACAGGACGCACAGGGCGCGCTGCATCAGCCACCGGCACGGCTGAGGTTTGCGCCTTGGCAGCAGGCATTGCCCCTTTTAGGACCTTGGGGATCCGTGGGATGGCGTCCCAGACTGACCTGGCCTCTTTAAGAGCCAGGCTAGTTCCCCGAAAAGGGTGAGCTGACGACACTGGTAGCGTAGCGGTGGCATCAGGTGCCCGTTTGTGTGTCCGTGCGGTGATGGCTGTAGGCAGACGAGCTTTGTATGGCTGCTGGGAAGCGGTGACGATGTCACGAGTAAACTCCGCCGGACTCAGATTCGGGAGGGCTTCCTCCCGACACTCAGCAGGGCAGACAGTGGAGAGGGAGCAAGCCCCTAAATAGATCTCTGGTATCCCCTTTCATCTCCGGCTTTTCCGCCTTCTTTTCTTCCCTCTTGCTTCGTACAGCAGAGACGGGGGCAACTCTGGACACTCCAGCAGCAGACCAGGGGTATTCCGCTGTCCAGGGCCACCCGCCGCATCATCGCCTCTGCCACCCCATTCCTGAGCTGCTGTAAGTTAAGGCGTACCTCTTCCACGAGGAATGTGTCCTTTGAAGGGGAAATCGTCCCCAGGATATCCCCCGTGTGTGCAGCCAGGGAGCGAGCTGCGGGGGTCCTCCAGGACCTCGGGCTGTTGTAGCCAATAAACCGCCTCTTCAATGAGACCGAGGTATTCCGCCTCAGTCAGCAGAGGCGTCTTTTCGCGGAGTCCGGTTATTCTGTCATGTCGCGCTTATGGAAGCAGGCAAAGGAAGCCGTGGATATGCACAAACAGGGTTTATTACGGAGTAACATTCCAAAACACAGCAAAATTAATGACCGGACTGGGGAAACAGACTTGAACGCGGACTTAAATACACAGGATTTAATGACGGAAATGCGGAACAGCAGATAACAATAAGAAATTCACACGAGGTTAATGAGGGGACCATGGCACGT